CGCTCTTCCTGCGAACGGGCTTAGGGTGGCTCACAAACAGGGGCACCATGTGCCAAAGATAAGACGTTAAAAACAGAATAAAACAACTATAATTAACGATAACGATGTGCTCAGTGATGTTATCCATTCGATCAAATCAAGATGGTGACCTGTAGATGTTACCCAAAAGCCCGCTTTAGCAGTACCAATCCATTGCACTGCTGTGGCTGGATCTTTATAGTGGGTCATCCCATTACCCCGTTGTTACCATGAGATAGTTGGTGGTGGCGGTAGTGGCGGCTTCTAATTAAAAGCCTGGCAGAAGAGCTCCATCTTGCAGGCCCTGCAGAACTGTGAGAGGTCCCGCAGGGCCCTGATCTCTTACGGGAGCTCATTCCACCAGGTAGGAGCCGCCACTGAAAAGGCCTTGGCCATGGTCGCCGCAAGCCTGGCGTCTCTGGGGCCTGGGATCACTAAACGATGTTGGGCCCCCGACCATAGTGCTCTCTGGGGTATGTATGGGGAAAGGCAGTCCCTCAGGTACATCGGACCCTGGCCATATAGGGCTTTAAAGGTAAGTGCCAGCACTTTGAAGCGGATTCGGAAAGCTATTGGCAGCCAGTGCAGCGCTTTCTGTATTGTATATCCCTGTAATAACCCGCCCAGAGCCCATATCGCTGGGGACATGACCAATGCTCCCTCTAAGCTGTGGAGTCTTGTGAGCAAAAATTCTACTTTGTGAGCTACTGGCATTCAAGTTGCGAGCAGGTGATCTGGCTACTGCATCAATTAGTTTGCTCTGGAGCCCTCCTTCCCGAGCGGAGACAAAAATGTGTGAGCCGGAGGCTACAAAACTGTGAGCTCGCTCACACTAACTCAGCTTAGAGGGAACGCTGGACATGACCAATGAGTTTGATATCTCTCCTGTAACGTGTATCTGTATCTCCTGTAACGTGTATCTCCTGTAACGTGTATCACACACGGTGACTAGGAAAAATCTTGGTTGGTAAAGATGAGGGACCGCCTGGACAAACGATACCAAATCCCTCCCCCTTTTCCAAATCAGTGTATGTAACTGTCACTGTGGAAACGATGAAGGTGTCCCGCTGTGGGCTCCTCCGCGGCCTCGCAGGCCGCTGCGGCGGGACTGGCACGGCCAGCGCCGGGCTCCCTGCGAATACCGGGAGGTGGACAGGCCAAGGGAAACAGTCCCGGAGACTCGCGTGGCCCCAAACCCCTTCCTCAGCGACAGCCGAGGCACAGAGGAAACTCAGAGGAGAGGGGGCCGGAGGAGCAGTCCGGCATGGACCACGCTCCTCTGTCTAAAGGGGGGCGGGCCGGATTGAAGGATAGAGCTAGTTGGAGGGTCTCTACCTTACCCCTCACCGTCGGAAGGGAAGAGACAGCGAGCGGCAGTCACGGCGTCTGAGGCGGAAGTAGACACTCCCCTGCATGCATAACTCCAGGCTGGAGGCACGGGTAATTAAAGAGAGGCGGGACAAAAGCGGGAAACACGAAGAGATTCGGTAAGGTGGTGATGGGCAGTTTTCAATTCAATTCAAATACCTTTTATTGGCATAGAATATTAAAAGCATTTCCCAATAATACAATCCAAGAGAAATTATAAAATAGATAGTCGTGGCTATGTCAGGCCTAACTCAAGTTGTCACAAGTTAGATTTGACCATACAAAAGATGCCTGAATCATAAAATAAACTGGCATTCCAAACTTTTAAACTTAAGTTTTTAAACTTATAAATTAAGAATCATTAATGTGATCAGGGTTACTCTTCCGTTTTATAAAACAATGGCGAAACTTAGCAGTCAGTTCAATGATCTCCAGATCTTGTGAAGCAAGGAGAAATTGTACCTTGATTCTATCCGATTGGCCTGCTACCAACCTAAGGGGGGCTTCTATACACTCCACTCGAATGTCATTTAACAATTTACAGTGTAAGAGTACGTGCTCAACAGTTTCTATTTCACTTCTATTACATCCACAGAACCTGATTGAATAAGGAATTTGCTTATATCTCCCCTCAAGAATAGCAGAGGGGAGAACATTAAGATGGGCCAACAGATAAGCTCTACACATTTGCGGTGAAGTCAGACAGAAAAAGTAATATGGTAGAGCACCAGAAAGGGGATAAGCCCACCTTACTGAGGAGCACCTTCCGGAGGCAAGGGCTCTGAGCTCTTGCAACTCTACATCAATAAGCCCCTGTTTAAGCAAAGTAAAGACCTCAAGCTCTGACCGGATGACAAGGTCACTCAGGTTAAATGATGGGCAGTTGAAAGAGGCTCTGGGCTCTGGAAGGGCTTAAGGGGTGTGTCCGTAAGGGAGGGGAGGAGAGATAAAAGGAAGGAAACAGAAAGTGCCGGGGAGGAGTTCAGAGCTAATCAGACAGCCAAGCCAGAGAGAGAGAGAAGGTGGAAAAACGATTGCTCTGAGAAAGGTGTCTGGAGTGTGACGCAACACCCAGCCCTTTCACATCTGAGGTGCTTGTTTCCTTCTGAGATATCTCCTCAAGACGGCGACAGGATTTACAGGGCCCGGGGGCAACCCTGAGCACGACAGAAGGTAGATTCAGGTACGGTAGCCGTGTTGGTCTGAAGCAAAAGAACGACGTTTGAGTGCAGTGGCAACTTTAAGACCAACAAGGACATAAGCTGCTGTGTGCGTGCACACTTCTTCAGATACCAGGCTAGATGGCCATCGGACAGCCATGCTGATTGTGTGAATTGAGGCAGACCACGAGACGGGAGGGCAGGAAGGGTTGCCTCAGGGCTTAGTTCTCGTGGCCCTTTCTTACACACCCAGGGAAATGCTGATCGCCACTTTGGGGTCCGGAAGCCATTTTTCTCCAGGCCAGTTTGGCCGGGGATCCTGGAGGTTTTTGGTCATCTTCTGGGCATTAAACAGGGGTCACTGGGGATGTGGGGGCAGAGGTATTTGTGAATTTCCTGCCTTGTGCAGGGGGTTGGACTAGATGACCTTGGAGGTCCCTTCCAACTCTATGATTCTATGAAAGCTTGTACCCAGAATTAAAATTTATGGGTCTTAAAGGTGCCACTGGACTCAGACCTTTGTTCCGTGTAAACCATGGTGGGGAAAAGGAAGGTGGAGGCAAGTCCTGGATCTGCTTGAAACATGACGTCGGGTTAGAATGGATAAAAGGAAGTCCTTCTTCACCCAAAGAGTGATTCACACATGGAATTCACTGCCCCAGGAAGTGGTGGCGGCTACAAGCATGGACAGCTTCAAAAGGGGATTAAATAAGCATATGGAGCAGAGGTCCATCAGAGGCTATTAGCCACAAGGTATAGATAGGGACTCTGGGGCAAGTGATGCTCTGTATTCTTGGTGCTTGGGGAGGGCAACAGTGGGAGGGCTTCTAATGTCCTGGCCCCACTGGTGGACCTCCTGATGGCCCCTGGTATTTCTGGCCACTGTGTGATACAGAGTGTTGGACTGGATGGGCCTTTGGCCTGATCCAACATTGGCGTCTCTTATGTTCTTATGACATCACCGTTCGTCTCTGAGGGAAAACGTCCGTTCCTTTGAGGGGGGCGCGAAAGCGCATTCACCTTCTCTTCACGTTCTCCCTTCAGCCAACGAGGAGCATCTTCCCGCCCAAGCCGAACCCTCTCCAAAGCGCCTCTCAGCCCGTCAACGTCGTCCATCCCCTCTGCCCCGCGCCCGGCCCAGCGGCTCCTCCTCAGAAAGACCTCAAGCCCTGCAGGCCGCCTCCTCTGCCCGTCGACAAATCCACCACGGCTGTTCCCGCCAAAACGCACTTCGGCGCTCAGGCCAAGCTGCCCCCGCCCAAGAAGCCTCTTCCCAGCAGTCCGGTCAGGACCCCTCTGGTAAGTGCGGCCGTCCCGCCAAGGCGTATCAAGGCTCGGCCTTCATTGGGCTGCCAGCCTCCAGGTGGGTCTAGGAACAAATAGATATACGCTGCAAAAACATTTTAACAAACGAATGTGTTCTATTTATGGCCATCATTTAGTAAAGTGCAGTATGTGTCAATACTATGCAGAGAACTAGGTCAACACTATGCAGCTTTGAGAATGACAGGAGTACTCCGTCCATGAATGTTAGCTGCACAATGAGAGAGAGAGAGAAGAGAAGAGATTGGATGTATACCCCATGGCCCTTCACTATCCAAAGGTGTCTCAGAGCGGCTCACAAACTCCTCTCCCTTCCCCACCCCACAACAGACACCCTGTGAGGTAGAAGAAGAAGAAGAAGAAGAGATTGGATTTATACCCCACCCTTCACTACCCAAAGGAGTCTCAGAGCGGCTGACAAACTCCTTTCCCTTCCCCTCCCCACAACAGACACTCTG